TTTTATTTATTTTATTTTTTTAATTAATTATTTTAATTTTTTATTTTATTTTTTTTATTGATTTTTTATTTTTTTAATTTGTTTTTTTTTTTATAATTCCGAATATTTTTAATCCGCGAATTTTTGATTTTTTTTTTTTTTTTTTTTTTTTTTGAAAAATTTAATTAATTTTTGAAATTCGCAATTATTTTTATTTTTTTTTTGTTTAACTTTTTTTGATTCAATTTAAATTAAATACTCGCGAATTTTTTGAAAAATTTTAAAATTTTTTTTTTTAATTTTTTAATTTAATATTTTTTAATACTTTTTTAATTTGCATATATAGCAGGGTTGACCTGATCATTTTTTAGAAGGTGCTTCTGATTCATAAGCTACAAGATTTAATTAATTTATTTATTTTTACCTAACTGGATCGATCGATTAATCTTAGAGTCGATCTAGAGAAACGATAATCGCGATTAAATCAATTCTCGAATCGATTCCAAATATCGAATTGCTTTAATTCGTGATTCGCCGATCAATACTTAGTGTAATGTGGGGCAAATTTTTGCCGATCATTAATTAATTCTAGAAATTAAAAATTAAGCCTCTAGGTAACACAATTTTTTATGCAATTTTCAGCCACTAGCTTTTCGAGAACAAAGTAGAATCACCACGTGCTTCAAATAAAAAGTGTTACTTGATGACTTTAACTTTTCGTTTCGAAAGTTTTAGTAGTGAGCATACTCAGATTGTTGCCTTTAACATATAGACCCTTTTCATAATTTCTATTTGTACATTGCAATATTTCACAAATTTGTGGTCTAAATTTAATAAACACATTTAAAAAGATAAAATATTTCATTTTTTCTTATTTTTCAGCCTAGTTATATATAACTTTTGGTGTGATTACTTTTTATTAATGCCAATGTTAAATGATGTTTCAAGCTATTACAAAACAAAAAATAGCACAATTGCTATTTGCTAGTCTCAACTAAATTTAGAACATACGGACTCTAAAACAATAAACATATTGTGCAGTGATAATTTCGTTGCTAAATTCCGGAAATTTCAAATGAAGATTCTCTTGGCAAAAACGAAGAAACAGACCGATCCATTTTACAGCTTGTATATTCGGTAAAATTTAAGAAGTTATTACAGTTTTCAACCTTTATTTATTTTATACAAAATTAGTTTCTAAAATAAATTTTTCAACGAACATCTTATACTTCTAGAAATCGTTCTGCATGTTCTTTTTTAGATAAACTAGAAAATCTAGTAATCCAATTTTCAATTGATTTTAAAGAAGGTATTACTTCAGTTGTAAGTTCCCCATTTTCTGCCTTTTTTTAAACCCATCCAACATATCCTTTGCAATGTATCAATCACTAGGATCGCTTTGTTCCACCATAAAAAAGTGAGTCAATGCCGCTACTACTTCTTTTGCTAGCCTTTTTCCACTACCTTTTTTTCCATATTTCTGATTGCATTTAAGTGCCCATCCAAGAGGTAGGTGGAATATGTGATTTCTATTATATTTTAGAAATTATTTGACCAATTACTTTATATAATAGTAAAACCAATTTTACTCACTCGTCTATATCCATTTTTGAAAAATCTTCTCTTGGTTCTCCATCAATTTGTGAATCTTCGCCCATTTCTTGATTTAATAAATTCACTAATTCATCTCATCCTAAAACGGTATCAAAGTGAATATTCTTTTAATTTAATTCATCTCTTAGTTTATCAATGGACCATCTTCTTAAATATTAACGATTAGCATTTGACACTATCAAATAGATATCAATAAATGAAACTATACACATGGTCTAAAATTTAAATGCCATTGAAGATAAGCTTGCCTAAAGCACAATATATTGGCATTGTCCACTTTGAGGAAACCTCAGAATGTTCGCCTACTGTTGGTTCAGGTTGTACAAGTTCTGTTTTAGTAAACTTACTCATAGAAAAAAACTTGACTTCTCCAAAACCAGGAAGATCGCATACACAAACATGTCCTACCAGTGAACCTTCTGTTGGCAAAGACCATTCAAACCAATTAGAAATTCCAGGTATAGTTTTGACATTACTTTGGTTTCTTTGATTATGATTGGGTTTTAAATAAGCCGTTAATGTACCACTTAAGCCATCTAATGCTTTTTCAATGTCTTCACCAGTAGTTAAATCAAATACTAATTGAACATATCTCTTAATTGCATGCGATATCTTAGATTGATTGGGTTAAGAGAGTTGAAATTGCATGAGTAAATGGAAATTTTCAAAAAAGCAAAATATATAATATATACTTGTGCATGATGACTATCAATTGACGTCTTAGTTTCTCCCACCTCTAAAAAGTACCACTTTTTACACTCAATATTATACAATTCTGCCCATTTTGAAACTAATGCTATTGTTTCAGAATAATGATAATGCGGTCTATTGTCACTCATTACAATAACCCACTTTGGTTTTGGATCAAGTAAAGCAAATACAGCATCAAAAAATGAGGCAGTAAATTCTTGGTTTTTAGAATATACCAAAACAGTGTGTAATGCCTATCCGCGTTTTACATAGAAGTCTTGTTTTGTTTCGCAAACTCATTTCGGAAGGATTCGCATTTTATAATCTACTACAATAAGGATACCATCGTTATTAAGTTGCAAAAGATTAGCATTGAATTGACTGTTCAAGTATCACTTTCTTGTTAGGTGTGCAAGATAGTATTCTAGCATTTCCTGAAGTTCCTTCAATATTCTTGTTGTTCATCTCCAAATAATATTCGCAATTCTTCAAATAAATTGAATATTTCATTACATTCGCTACATTCTGATACATGTTCCTCATTACAATTATCAAACGCAAATGGTAGACAATGATTGATACAAGAGTCATGTGATACTATCCTATTACAAGTCACATACAAGTGTTTTGGATAATCACGTTTAAGAAATCGTTTAGAAGTTTCAATATTTTTAAGCAAATGTGTTTAATTTGTGCAATTTTAAATATTAGTTTCAGATATTTATAAAAACAAAATTAGAAGATATGACTTTACCTGAAGCTCCTGATCTTCAATATTTTGTATGACTAAATTTGCCAAATCCCTAAACGCATTGTATCCATAAGTACTACAGGTACTATAAAGTCCTCTTAAATCTTCTTGGTATACAAACGGTCCATCTCGTAATCATTTTAAAAATGCTGATCGCCCCATTCCTTCAGGATACAATTTATGGAATTTTGCCCAAAGTGCTTCTTTTTGATCACTAAAGTATTTTAGCGGAAATCCTGTTTTGGTATCGACTCTGTAAGAGCTTAAATTCACATTTTTCTTACTACTCATAAACCATTCAAATTGATCTTCATGCTCTTGAGGCATAATTTTTCTTCGCATTAGTGGTTTAGGCGCGGCTGGACACCCATGACCAAATACACGTCCATGTATTTTTGCATTGTGAATTATATTTGATGAAACCTATAAAAAGGTAATAAATACGCTAGAAAAAAATTTATTCAAAGGTAATTATAAAGTATTTACATGAAGTCTAGTTTGTAACTCTTTATAAGGAAACTTATCTTCAATAATCGAAAGTATTCTTTGTTTTCCATTAGAAACACATTTATTCAAACTCAGACGCTGCTCAAAACATTTCCAAAATACTTCTGTGGCATTGAATATATGCTTTGGTATTGTCCGTAAGAAACTACTTTGATAAAGCATATTGATCATCACTTTATCTGATTCAGGATCAGATGATCGGATCCAAAATTCATACTATAATATTCAGTAAAGCAATCTCTAGTTAGTTGAATTATCATTATTTTTAAAACAAAATTTAAAATATACTTTTATCACAGAATTGCCAATATATTACCCGACTACATTATCACGCTATCACCAATTTACCATAAGTTCATCACAGCATTACTACCAGCAATATTACTAATAACGGTAGATCTGAATAAAAATAATTAACTACCTCTGATTCTTCTTTATTAAATGGTGTTATATTAACACATCCAGTGGTGCGAAACATTGCTCGCTACGCTCGAATTTCTCTCAGAGAAAATATAACCTATTGGATATAACAAAGCTAGCTGACTATGTAATTCAATTATGGGACAATTATTTTCTTTCCAATTCCGAAATAATAAATGCCAATTAACCTGGCTGTACGTTCTTTTTTGTAAATGATATCTGAATATTTGCTCCATTTTTGAATAATTATGCCATTCATCATGAAAACATATCAACTTTATTGCTTGTTCTAGTTTTTCCTTTACATTATAATTGTCTAAGCCAAATAAAGTGATTCCTGACCACTCTTTTAACATGCTAGCCTACCTATTTTTCTCACACGCTATCTGATTCGCGAAATTCTTCAGATAATTGATTTTCTTTGTAAACACAAATGGAATATCCATTTTCATCGACAGTTTGAAAAAATAAAACTCGTTCTTTAGATTTATAATAGAGGAAAGATGAAGCAAATCCATACAAATCTCTTTGTTCCGTTGGTATACCGATTGAATGTATCATTACCTTGATTTTTTATAAGTTTATTACAAAAGGTTGGAAGGATAAATCGGATACAAGTTCATCTAAAATATTATTGTCTTCCATACCCATCACTAACACTCTGGAAAAACGCGTTTCATTTTGAAATATTTTTTTATACAATTTTGAAATAGCACTCGTAGGGTCGTTTTCAACTTCTTCATTAGATTCTAATAAAGATTCGCACAAAAATCCCGGTAACAAACTATTATGTTTATTTCCTTGAACAACTCGAATTGTTAAGGGTCTATTTTTCAGCTTTACTTGTGTTTTCATGCCAAGTCGAAAGGGGTAGTAACGTTCAATTTTTGTTCCATTATCCTGTGACATTCTGACATGCCACCAACTTTTTAAAAAGGGTCCAAAATGCAAGTAAGGAACGATTACACCAGTAGCAATCAATGTTACTAAAGGTTTCCATCGTTTGGACATTCTTTTTTAAACAGTTTATTGTAAGTTCTAACAACGCGTTGTCAGATTGTTACAAGTATATTCGCTCATATATATTAATTATCCCCGCTTTAATTAGTACCTGCATATATGATCGACATCTCGTGATCGGCGAATCACGAATTAATGTTTAAAATTTTCATAACAATAAAACGGACTATAATAGAAATATAAATTATATAAACATAAGTTCGGCTCTTCAATATATGATGCTAAAATTAAAATCCGAAAAATTAAACATATTGGGAGGTTTACTATTAAAATCGAGTTACAAACATATGATCCGTAACGTGATTTTAATAGCTTAACTTCATCTATGATTGAATAAACTGTATTATAAAATTAACTATGTCCGTTAGATCTTTAATTTACATAGTAAATTATATATTATAAATTTTTATCTGATTAATGGAAGTGAGCTTAAATTTTTAGAGATTTGGTGGGAATCCAAATAACATTATGAATCTGCAGACTCCTCATCTTTTCAATTGGAAAAAATTTAGAATGTTTATTAACTTTTTATTATTTTATATTATGTATGTACTGTACAATCCGATAATAAATACAAGAATGGTGAAAATCGCTCAGCAATTTAACAAGTGTACAATAAGATCTTTTAATTTAAAAGGAATAATTATGTGGAAAAAATTCATTATAACAGATTACAGATTTTAATACGTTCAGCTTAATGCAACTTGGCATAACCTGGTTCAAAAGCCAAAACTTGTTACCAACCACCAAAACTGAATATAACTTTTCTGTCTAGTTTTGATTGAATTTCTACATTTATTAGTGTATTAATGCCTATTCTGATTTTATAGCCACATCAAATTCCATTTTGGCACAATGCCACGTTTTCTTGAGATTTTGTTTTTTAGGATCAACATCAAGTTGCAGGCAAAAACCTTATCCCCATTTGGCAAATGTCGAAAATTTCGAGATTTCAACAGAACGATTTGTGAATGGGCGAAACCAATTAATTACAAATCTTGATTATAAAAACGACTCGAAGAACAATTAATCAATCTTTATACTTTTTGTAAATTAAACTTTCATGTAAATAGTAAATAAAAAATGAAATTGTTTATTTACCTAATTTTCTTTTTTTATACATATATTTAAATATTTAGATATTATTTTCACCCCAATTGTAATACTAAACTCTTTCTTTTTATTTTTCATTACTTTTATTTCTCCGTTTCATTCGTTTCGTTGCTTTAAAAAAATTCTTACACATTTCAACTCTTTCTTTTTTAGGTAGGTCTTCGGCTCTTTCGGTTCTGGTTTCTCAGTAATAAATAATTACATAATTATGTTTATCAGTCTTTTGAAGAAATGCGGTCCGGTCTTTTTGCATATAGGACCGAAAAGACTTTCGGTTTTCAGGAAATTGACCATCTTTAATTGTAGGATTGGAAATTTTTATTTTTTTTTTATTAAGAATGATATTAAGGTTGATAGATCATAGTTCATGTCGTGCTAGTATTACCGGAACGAAAAAAATAAAAAAAAAATTTATTATCCTTAGTTAATAATTTAAATGATAATTTTTATCGATTGTGTCGTGATAATGGGTTCAAAATTGAGAATACATCGAAATATTAAAATTTAATTGTTTCCTAAGAATTTGGGCGGTTCGCAATTAAATCAAGAGCAGCTTATATGTCATACGATTTTAGCGAACATTCCACCTCTCATTCTGTCTAGGATTGAATAATTACAAGATAAGCATCAATATTTTCATTACTTGTAAATTACGTATACGTGCAATATACTGTTATTTGATAGCATAAACATTAGTAAAATTATTTAAAGCGAATCAATTTATCAATAATTTTTAGGGAATATTTTATTAATAATTCAAGAATTTTATGAAATAAAATAATTTGGTTATGAAATTTTATATAAATTTACAAATCTTTAAACTAGAACTTTTTTTTTATAGAAATTGAGCCCAGACGATAAAATACTGAATTAATGAGCAAAATTAAGTTCCAACTATAATTTTATTATTGGTAAAAATTAATAGCCAAATTGATCGTTATTTCTAATTTTTAGACTGTTAGAAATACTGTTGTTATCTTCAATAAAGTGGGCGTTTTTACAAATATATCAAGCTCAAATGCTTTTGTTACATAATCTAATTATAGTTGCGGGGCAAAAGCCTAAACCCATTTTGGAAAAAGTCGAAACTTTTCAGAAATTATTTCGACAGTTTCGATGGTTTCGACGGGTTTCAATGGGTCTCGAAAGTATCGACAGTTTCGATAACAACTTTGCGAATTTGACGGTTTAACAGGTTTATTACATTGTAAATATAAAAACGATTATTGATTTTTTGGCTTTTTATTTAAATTAGAACAAAGTTTTCAAAATAATACACTATTTATCGAGCAGGTTTTAAATTGGAAGCACTGATACTTGTTAAAGAATTAGAAAAATTACCTTATGAAGGAAGATGATGATAGAGGTTGAACCGGGTTTATTTTACTTAATTTTAAAAATCGGATCCTGATTTAAATCCGAATATCGAATCTCTATTTCAAAACTGTGCAGATCAAATAAAGTTTTTTAAAGCTTAATAAATTATACACCCTGCGGATATTTGAGTTTAAATCAGAATGTCGAATTCGGTTCCAGTAGTATATTCTTGTCCCAAGGTGCAATATAAGGAATGATACCATAAATCTCCTCATTATTTGCTGATTCTGTTGAAATTTCGATGTATATAAATTTGATCATAAAATGAATTAAATAATCCATAATTTAAATTAAGACTAAAATATTTCCTTAGATAAATTATAAAATTATTGCTAGTACATTATAGATATCAGGATATCAACTTGTAATAATATACCTCATTTAGCTTCTTAATTGATATATTTATTGAATTATTTAGTTTTTTGAGAACAATCGCTGTATGACCTTTCGTTCAAAATTTATTTTGCTTTCAATTGACCATTAATCCAATTGGCTTTATAAATTTTACTAAATCCTCTTCTGCAATAAATTAACGTCTTGATTATAAGGAATATATTCCAATTTCGCAGCTTGATGATCACAATTAATTTGAGTATATCTAATAAAATCATCTATAACTCGATTTTCGCTTGAATTACATAATTTACAACAAAATTGACACATCCAAGGATCTTTTTTTAGAAAGTTTCCTCCATTTGCAAACATGCATCACATTTTTATATATTTTTTAATACAATCTGTTGATTTTCTATAGAAACTAGTTTAGGTTGGTGTGCGTCGACTTCGTCGCTGCTAGGTATGGTTATTGTACTGCTTTCTTATATTTAGTTTGTAATGGTATAGATAAAGGTAATTAAAATAAACTGAAAAATTCTTTAATGTTATAATGGTACAGTAGCTCAAAGTAAAAAAACTAACTGCATTTTGATTAATTTTTTTTTTTTACCTACAGTATATCTGATATTTCTGAACTTTTATGCTAAATTAAAAAAAAAACTTTGGCAGATAATTTCTCATGAAAAACTTTTTTCACTTATTAAAATAGACAATAGTTAAAAAAAAATATTTTTATATAAAAATTGATTATGATAGAAGTTTGTGATAAAATTGCTGATAAAGTCTTGTTTTACCTTGTATTCAAATAAAGGTTCTTTTCTTTGGTTTGCATAATAAACAAATCTTTTTAACACAATTCTGGTTCTAAAAGCATATCAATTGGCCTTTAATCATTATAATAAATACTACCCAATAAAAAATTTGATATAAAAATTCCATAAAAATATTAAGTTTTATAACGTATAACTTTTATGGAAAAT